GTGAAACCCCAGAACCCAAAGCCATGGTGGGACTGTGGAGAAGATGGTGGGGTGCAGGCTGCTGGGGGACAGGGGCTTTTTGACAAGGGTGGGTCATTCTGCGAAGGGGATGGGCTGTGCACATCATTTAGGGTTTCTTGTGACAAAAAACCCCGTGGTTTTTCTGTCCAGGGACCCTCACAACCCAAACCTCTCCATCGTTTCGGAGGGGACAGGTAGATCCCCGTGCCTGGGCTCTGCAGCCTCCAAGTTTCACCACCTGCCCCATGGATGTGGTGTGTTTGTCTGGGCATCCTCCCCAGATCCGCTGCGGGCAGGGCGAGAGCTGGGGCTGCTCCCCCAGGCTCTGCGGAGGTGTCGGTGGTGGTGGGGGACAGGGACAGGGCGCTGCAGGGATGGGCTGGGGACTGGGTGTGGCCGGGGATTCTCTGCCACTGCTGAGATGAGTTGGGTGGTCTCAGCATGCATGGAGCAAGGCAGGAGGGTTGTGCCACGTAGGGCTTTCTCCGTTCCCTGGAGGGTACACAGCTTCATGTACAGACCCCTGTGTGGCATTAAAACATGCGTGGGCAGGGGGCTGGGATCCCCTGCTGCCCACCCTGCCTGTGGCTGCAGTGCAGTCCCCCTGCGCATGGGGCACGCAGGGGCTCTCCCCCAGCCAGGAGCTGCAGGGAAGGGTGTCTGAGGCTTTGCAGCTTCCTCAGCTGAAACGAGAAGGGGAGGTGAAGGCAGCTCTGGTTTTCTGCAAAACTTCCTCCCCTGGGCAAGGATGCCCACGGGTGACAGAAGCTTCCTGCACCCGAGCGGGGTGACCCAACCACACTGATGGCTGTGGGGCTGGGTCTCCCCCTCCATGGGTGCTCTCACAGGGATGTGGGACCAAGCTGAGGGAGCTCATGTCATTTCCCAAACTCACTCCATTGCATGAAACCGAGCTGGGCTGGGGGGCAGAACCCCCCCAGGACGGCCCCACTGCGCCTTGAGCTTTCCTGCAACGTGGTGTCTCGGAGGGAGGGCGAGGAGGGAGCTCAGCTGACGCTCAGCGGTTCGTTCATGGCCGTACTCCATTTTCCAGCTGTTTCTCTCCTTCCTTCAGCTTTGTCTGGGGACTTTCTCTGGGGAGGGTGGGGAGAGTCCACAGCTATAAATGGTGCTGATGTTAGAAAACAACCTGCAAGTTACCCTGGAAACCCGGCTGCGTTTCCTGGGCTCCCCTGAATGCGTGAGGCTGATGTTGGCCTTGATTTGGTGCATGGAAACTCAGATAAAAAGCTGGTGGGACTTGGTGGGGGCTGCCCAGTCCTGACACTGTGCAGCAATGGGATGTCCCTGAGGCTGGGACATTGCCAGGGCTTGGGGGGCTGCAGGGAGCAGGGGGAGCATTGCAGGGTGCAGCAAGGAGGGTCAGCCCTGCGGAGGATGCTCAGCCCATTTCCATGTATTCAGCGCTTTCTTCCCCTCCTGGTTTCTCTTGGCGCTGGCAGGAAGCTGCGTGGGGGCCCGGCTCTGCTGCCCCTGCTCTGTTGGGTCCCCAACTCAGTGCCAGATACCAGAGGACCTCAGTTCTGGTGGCTGTAGGGTGGATGGCAAAGCTCTTCTCCCTGAGCCTCCCCAGCAGCACCCGGCCATCGCCCTCCCATGGGTACTGCACCCAGGGATGGCTGGTGGCAAGGGAGAGAGCGAAGCTTCCCTTGATGAACACAGCCTCCAGAGAGGGGACTTTGCCTCACATCAGCTTTTCTGTTCCTTCCCACAGCTCCTCCTCACCCTCACTCCGGTGATTCCCAGCTCGGAAAGCCATGGCACCCAAAGGAAAGGTAAGGGTGACCCACATGCAGCAGGGATGGGTGCTGCAGGGCAGACCCCAGAGCCAGGACAGCGTCTCCATCATGCAGCAAGGATGGTGGTGACGTGCACGGGGTGCGATGCTGCCCAGAGCCTGTTTACATTCCTGCCTCTCCAGCCAGCGCTGTCTGGATGTGATGCAGATGGGGGAAGCGCTGGGGCGGGGAGTTGGGAGAGCAGGGATGGCGAGGAGCAAAAATCTGTGCAAAAATTTTTGGAAAAAAACAAAAAAACCTCAAAACAAAACTTTTGGGACCACAGTGAGATAAGGGGAGAGAAGTGGGGCTGTGGGAAGGGGAGGAGAAGAGATGTTACCCTGAGGATTTGGGCTTTTGCTGGAGAAAACTCCCACCTGTGCCCAAGCCTGCTGCAAGGCATGCAGCCCTGCTTTGGCCTCTCCCCTCCAGCCTGGATTTCTCCTCCCTGTGAGCCGGGGCTGGTGCAATGTGGCAGCTGGGTGAGCAGGTGCTCCCTCACAGCCAGGAAAACATCCCAGCGTGGGTGGAAAACCCTGCCTGGGTGGGCAGCTGTGGCTGGGGGGGGTACAGCCTGGCT